AAAAGAAACAATCAAGTGAAGAGACAGCCTACATTTGGCAAGCAAATTTTTGCCACATGTATGTCAGATAGGGCACTAATCTCCAAGATATATAAAGAACTCAAAAAACTTAAYACCAAAAAAACAAACAAACAACCCAACGAATAAATGGGATAAGGAGCTGAACAGACACTCTCAGAATAAGATATACTTTCAATCAACAAATATATGAAAAATTGTTCAACATCTCTAGTAATTAGAGAAATGCAAATCARAACTAAGATTTTATCTCATGCCAGTCAGAATGGCAGTTATCAAGAATAGAGACAATAGTAGATGTTGGTGAGGATGTGGGGGAAACGGCACACTCAAACATTGCTGGTGGGAATTCAAATTGGTGCAACCAATCTAGAAAGCAGTATGGAGATTCCTTAGAAAACTTGGAATGGAACCACCATTTGACCCAGCTATCCCACTCTTTGGTCTATACCCAAAGACTTAAAATCAGCCTACTGTAGTCATGCAGCCACATCAATGTTTATAGCAGCCCAATTTACAATAGTTAAGATGTGGAAGCACTCCTAGATGTCCTTCAATATATGAATGGATAAAGAAACTGTGGTATATATACACAATGGAATATTATTCAACATTAAAAGAGAATAAAATTATGGCATTTGCAGGTAATTGGATAGAGTTGGAGAATATCATGCTAAGCCAAATAAGCCAATCCCAAAAAAACAAAGGCTGATTGTTCTCTTTGATAAATGGATGCTGATCCATAATGGGAGGAGGGGGAATGGGGAAAATGGAGGAACTTTGGGCAAAAGATAGGGTGGGGAGGGGAGGGAACATGGGGGTAAGAAAGATGGTGGAATGAGATGGATATCACTACTCTAGGTACATGTATGACTACACATATGGTATGACGCTACATTGTGTACAATCCAAGAAATGAAAAGTTGTGCTGCAATGTGTACAATTAACCAAAAAAGAAAAAAAAATCTTGTTAGTATCTGGTGCCATAGTTATAGAATCCATAAAAGTCAATTTCAAATGTACATTGTAAAATTTTTACTTGAACACTTGACACAAACAGGTGAACTTCTAGAACTCAAGTAGGTGTTAGAGTCTTCATTGAACTCCKCCACTGAAACTTTCCATCTGCCTCTGACCCAGTACATTCGCCAGGATGGAAGCGGACTCTCTGTGGGGCTGTGAGCCGTGCCCTGGCCAATCACCCTGAGCCCTTCCCCCAGCCTTTCCCCATGTCTTCCTGCTGCCTTTATCTTCACATATTTCATTCCTTTTGAAAAAAAAAAAAAAAACCTTTTTTTGTTGTTGTTTAAGGTTTACAATGACTGCGGATTATAAATGTTACATAATTCATGTGTGCTATATATTTTTATATCTATATARATAAAGAGAAAAGTCCAAATAAAGAATCAAAGTTAGATAAGATTCCAGAATTTAGAAATAATTGCTGTCTTAATTGGCTGGTTTAACACTGTTCTAGAATAATCCTGGGCATATGCACAATTATGCAAATATAGGTAGCTAGATATTTACCATTTTACATGGTCTGGTGTCCTGATATTCCATGCAATAATGTTGTGGGCTTCTTTCYACATCAATAAAACTAACTCTGGTTATTAAAAAGAAAGTGTGATTCTCCAACAGCCCAGAACAATTGTCATAAGCAGAAAAGTGAGTAAAAACAAAAGTTAATTCCCTTTTTCATTTGTTCATCAACAAAGTTTGGCTCAGTGGGAAAGTCCCCTATCACCTGAGCCTCTAGCATGGGAGGCTGGCACAGGTAGAGAGAGCAGCTTCCATGTTGTAGTGAATGCCTTGAAGGAGAAGTCTGATGGGACCCTGGAGACCATCACTGCAGGGACCCATTGGAACTCTCCCCTTTTCCAGGGTCAACATCTGTAATGGCTCCCTTGTCTCCTGTTCAGATGGCTCCTGTCTGCTATAATGTCCCCACTCCTCTCTCCAGAGGACTCCCTRACCTCTGGAGTTAATTGTTTAACAGTTAAACAGTCCATTGTTTGTGTTACATTTAATGTTTCCTTCTTAAAAACCATACTCCTAATTTTATCACCTCACTGTTTCCTCCTCTCCTTTTCTTTGAATCCATTCTTGGTATCCCCCTTTTTTTATCTGCTAAAATCCAGAACTTACCCTGACATGGGAAAGTCCCTGCATTATCTGGCCCCAGCTGGTGCTCACATCCTATAGCCTGCTGATTCAGGATGGTTTGGCCACTCCTGGTTGGGTTGTGTCTGCTCCGACCTCTGTCCCTGGCACTTTCCTTTCCTCAGTTTATCTGCACTTTGCTTAAATATTTCTTCCATTGTGACCTTGCCTAATGCCCCTGTCTAAAAATCATCCCTTTTATTGTTTGTAACAACTGCTGCTTTCCTCCTCATAGCATTGATCCCTTCCTGACTCCATGTGACAAATCTCTTTGTTTATTGGTTGATTTTATGTCCCCTGCCATATGTTAGAATGAGGGAGTCTTTAATGGTAGGCCCTCTTTCTGTGTGGTTCATGTATGTATCATAGGGCCATTAATATGGTTTGCACCTTTGGTTGGTTTCAGTGATGGATAGTTAATGTGTGAATCTAGAGCTCACTTTGGCATGGGAAGACAGAGAACCCAGCAGTTACCCCAGGATTGGGGTTAAAATGTCCACATTGAAAGGATAGGTACAGGAGAAGTTGTTAGTGGGGAGACTGAGAAGCTGCCTAGCAGTGGTGGAAAGCCAAGTGTTGTTCTGAAAGCTAAGAGGGGTGAGGGAAGGAAGGAATGGGCCGTGTGGCCAGCTGAGCAGGCAGGAAGGARAGGTGTTGAAAACTTCTTACTGGATTTAAGGACATGACCTAAATGGTGTCCTTGTCGTGTATTAGAAATGGAGCCCAATTAGAATATTTTGAAAAGTGAATGTTGGAGAAATAGGGAGATGTTTATTTAYCAGTTTTTGCATATTTTATAAACAATTACCTATAATCAATTGCTGTCATTGATTGAGGAGAGAAAAATGGTTGGTCCCAATTAAAGTGGAAGAAATTGAAGTCATAGAACAATGACCTCTTTTCTTCCTCTGACTTGTGCTGTCTATAGCAGGTGTCAGAAGATTGGGTTGGGCTGTGGCTACTTGAGGGACCTCAAATTAGTTGTGTCTCCTGCATGGATCTCCTTCATGCATTTGTATACCTTCAAAGCTGAAACACTAATCACAGCAGCCCTACCTAAATCCTAGGCCTGTTGAGACCTTGCTCTTGGAGGCGCATGATTTGTAAGATGACTTTAAAAAGCTCAGATGGGTGCAGTACTCATGAATAATTTCTCTTGCCCTCAAATGTGACTGAATATGCCCTTACAGATTCTTGAACAACGTCGGTTTCTTTTTCCCTCTGATAATGATGTTGACTTGGATGGTATCSGTGGCCAGCATGGTCCGAAAACTGGTTTATGAGCGGGAGATCCAGATAGAAGAGGTAAATGGCCTTAACYTTGCTTGTGAGACTTTGGAAATGAATCCTGGGCAGTGACTTGCTCAGGCCTTTCTGTTTTGCCTCTCTCTTCTCAGCTGGGCCTCCTAGGTATGGTCCCACTGCATCCCTATTGTAGGAACATCAGGTTATGTTGAAGTCTGAAGTGCTGCCAGATTTTAACAGATATTTCTTATTGAGATGGAARAAAACCAAAGAAGAACCATATGACACTGAAAGATCAAATCCAGCATTGCTCACTTAGCAACTTTCATAAAAATTAGAAAGACTTAACAGCAGACTTTCCACCTTAATCTGTCATTAGAACTCTSTGCGAAAGCATTGAATTTTTGTCCTGATATTGCTGCAACTTGAAACCATCAGACTTAAAGAATGAAAGATGATAAAAGTATCTGGTGAAGACGTGACTGTCTGTTGATTTCTGAAGAGCAGTGAGAACAGAGACTGGGGTGCACTTCATTGACTTATTGAGTATTTATTAATTTGCAGAAATAATGTGTTGAAGTTAAATGTACTGTTCTTCAAATTTGACAAATGATGCAGAGCACTTGCATCCCTGTTTAGCATTTTCCTATTTACTATCTATCTACTCATGAGTGTTTCTCCCCCACCACTGAGTATCCACTTGCTGGGCTCCCTACTGCCACCAGCCAGYTGGCCAGCCAGAGTGTGTCTGAGAGGCACATGTACTCCTTCCATCATGTACTCATCAGCACCATGCCCAAAGATAACACAATACRATTGGTGAGAAAACAGTAGTTTCATGGAAGAATTGCTTTATCTGTATTACTTCAACCAGGGGTATTTTGAAAAACATATTTTCTAAAACAGGCAGTGATCCTCCAAATTAAGATACTTAAGCACCAGTGTTTCTTTCCTTTCTCTTTGTCCTTATTAAAAGAGAGAGACAGAGAGAGAGTGAGAGAGAGAGAGAGAGAGAGAGAGAGAGAGAGAGAGAGAGAGAGAACAAACTAACACAAATGAAATGCAAAATGAACAAAAGTGAAAACAAAGATAATAAACCCTCAGTAAACAAGAAAACACAATGGGACTGTAGTTCACCAAACTTGAGGTCTAAGCCACCTGCCCCTACCCATTGAAGCTCTGCTCTCACTGGTGAGATTGTTTTWATGTCTGAGTTTCAGTTCTCCCCTGAAGCAGTAAAGACCTACTTTGTAAGGTGCTCATGAAAATCACATGCTGAGCTCTGGATCAAAGTGCCCTTTCTAGGGCTGAATTTGCAAGTCATGCCAGTTTACCTTCCATTGGTACTCCTTCTCTGTCCCACAAGCTGCCCTGTTCTTTCTGTGGTACCTCCTGCTATGACAACTCTGGGTTTTCCCTCTGTTGACAGTACCTGCGGATGATGGGAGTGCATCCAACAACTCACTTCCTGGCTTGGTTCCTGGAGAATGCAGCGGTGCTGACCTTGAGCAGTGCTGCTCTGGCCATCATTCTGAAAACAAGTGGCATCTTCACCTACAGCAATGCATTCATCATCTTCCTCTTCCTCCTGGATTTTGGGGTGTCAGTTGTTATGCTGAGTTACTTCTTGAGTGCATTTTTCAGCCAAGCTAATACAGCAGCCCTGTGTACCAGCCTGGCGTACATGATCAGCTTTCTGCCCTACATAGTTCTGTTGGTTCTGCACAACCAACTAAGTTTTGTTATTCAGACATTTCTGGTAAGTGAGTTGTTCTATAAAGGTGCAAAATAAAATAAAGCAGGGATCTACGCAACAACACAAAACCACCACCCTTAACTTGCCAGTTTATCATGTTCTGACCTAAACAGGATTTCTGATATTTACTTTCTTTATTCTATCCACAGATGCAAAACTTACAGTAGTAGTTCATTGAAATTGTGGTGGTTTTGCTGGATGGCAGCCCACTATGAATCGTCATTTTTCATGTAATGGGGGCTCTTGGAAGACTCTGAGAAATCAGTGGCATCCTTAAGGATGCATATCAGTTTAGTTTCTTTTTGTTTCATGCGTGGAAAGAAATAGATTTCTGAAGCTATTTTAGAAGTAAAAAATAAGCATTTTTCTTGATGCATCATGAATTACATCATATAAGTGGAAAGATCTCTCTGTTAGCAATGTCAGAATCGCTCATCCATTAAAATGTACCTTATGAAAAAGAATAAGAATGGTTTCAGGTCTGCAATATAAGATACATAGAAGATGGAAACTTATTCTTTTATGACTGTTGTCCGGCAATCCCAGTGCCTGATGTAGCAGGAACCCAATTAATGTGGGAGAGGTGAACAATTCACTAATAAATCTGTCTTTCATTAAATCAGTGTCATACCTATACCCATTTGCATTATGCTTGAGTCTTTACGATCTCCAATAGGTCAGGTGATTTTCTTATATTGCAGTCTATTTGGATGTGTATATGGAGTCACTTTGAGGAGGTACCAGGGAGATTTGGTTGGAATCTGAGGGGTATTTAAAGTCTTTYGAAAGTCCTTGGCAGCCCCAGTGAGTGTATCGATCACTTTTATGCTCATTTATGGCCTGACAGTGAAATATATCTGTGAAAGCCCAATTATTTTTCTTCAACTCCAATAAACGACTGAATGCTGTGGGTTTTTTTAGTCATGTACACACAGCATTAATATGCATACACGGTAAAAAATGGTTCCATTCAATTAATGTTTGTTCCATTGATATGTGTTTATTGATTTGAGTAGCTTAATTCACCATCTGTGATAACAAATAATTTGGTGCTAATATGAATTAGATGTTTTTAGAATAATTAACACAAGTGGGACCATTTAGTGTCCCTCCCATAGAACTGGGTAGAAAGAGCCATTGATGAGCTGAGCTAAATTTCTAATGCTGTCAATTTTATTTTTACTTCAGTCTTTATATTTAAGGGTTCTATATATTCAGTACTTGATTTCCTTTTTACATATTCAAATGTTTTCTAGCAATTGAAAAAAAAATCTAACTCTGGTACATTATATTTGTAAATGTAAGATGCTTTTTCAATAGGCTTTCTATTTTTTTGTTTTCTGACATAGGTCCTCCCCACTGAAGATAAAATAACATTTTCCTTCAGTACACTCTCTTTCTAGTGTAGAATAATGTCCATATTCCATCAGTCTGTTTGCAGTGTGCTCCAGGGCATTCACTTAATAATAAAAAAACCCAGTAAATTGCTCCATTCCATTTTCTACTGTTTCTTGTTACACATTTCTGTATACAGTGCATTGGATTTATGACACTTCAAGCATTGCAGAAAAGAGAAGTAATTCCTTTTAACATTAAAAACTAGCTTGTTAGCACACTGTTCAGAGAGGGTTGACAGTCTGCTAAGACTTTCAGGCTCAGATATTTAAATTACTGCCTGAAGCAATGGTTTGGCATCCTCGGAATCAGAAAGTGTCATGGTATCTCTCTTTGAATTTGGTATTGTAGATTTTCTGGTCCCAATCAAACACTAATGTATCGTTTTTCTCCTTACTCCACCAATCTGTGGGCAGTGCCTCCTCTCAACAACTGCCTTTGGACAAGGAGTATTTTTCATTACATTCCTGGAAGGACAAGAGGCAGGTAAGAGGACACATTTTTGGAAAATGACTCTCAGTGACTCAGGTTTTTGGAAACTTATAGGTATTCTGCAAGTGATATAGTAGAAAGGCTGCATTACCAAGTGAAGCATTTGGAAGGAGATTCTGACATTTGATTTCATTGATGAAAATACTTCCCACCATCAATTTGTCTCCATTTTGAGAACAATCAAGAATAACCCTGGCAGCCCTTCCTGTAGATGTCATCAATCAAACACCCAGATAGTGCTTGGACCTTCCTTTGGACATCCTTGATACATGCTCAACCCAGGGACCTTCCAGAATCTTCCAGATGTGCCCCTATATTCCACCTTGCTGGAGTATTATTGAATTARGATCCATCTCTTGGGTTCCTCTGCTCCTTCTTTCTACTTTCCTATAGTTCCCTCTTACAAATGACAACGACTAATGAATTTATCAGCTCCTATCTTTACTATTTGCTGGGTTGAAGCGTAACCAGTATAGAACAGAGCACAGCTATTTCCTCCAGTTTTAAAACATATTTTATTCCCATTAATACAGCTTAAAATCATTTTTTTAAAAATTGTTGACAGAATTTTTTACTTGACATTTTGACAACTGAACTTCTAAACAAGAATAGATAAATTTCTTAGATGTTTTTATGATTTCTGTAAAGATAGGTAAAATATATGCTATAAAACTCTAGCTCTTGTTACATCAGCCTCTTAATTTGTAGTTCTTAGGTTTCCCTGACATTTTTAATAAAACATGTTGTTATTGAATAGACGAGTAATTCTGAATGTTTCCTCCTGTATTCCTCAAACTGATCTTTAAACTAAAGCAAATTAAGAAATTCAGAAGAAAAATGGTCTCTACTAGACTATTTGAATAGTTTGGTTCCAATTCCAACAAGTGCATAAAGACTAAAACATGTATTATTATTGAGTTATAGGTTAGTATTATAGGAAACATTTGAAAAATGAATGTCTTTTTAAACTTATATTTTAATCTGTAAATAAATTGCAGAAGCATTGTAAGAAAACAAATTCTTTCCCACCCTGTATTTCCCATGTAAATAGGATTCAAAAGATATTTTTGTATCTATTTACATGTTTTCCAAGAGCAGAGAGAATTAAAAATTTAGAATTTGTGTTCTCAGGAGTCTTCTTTTTACTTACCAAAAAAGAAATGATTATTTTCCCATAATGTTAATGGCTTTTAGTTGAGTAAATAATACTGAAGGTAAGTAAGGTGACCTTTACAATTTTTTTAAATGATAGAAATTAAAATGATACCAAAGTTTCCTCTACCTGACACACTGAAATAGATGTATACGCAGAAAGCCAACATTTCCTTTGAAGAATTCAGCCAATGGTATTAACTTTCCTTTTGTTTTACCTTTATTCAGCTCTACTTGAGCCTCCAGAATTTATTAACTCRTCTCACCAAAATCTACAGTCAAAGAGGGAGTGCAATTCTAACTCTGACCTTTTCTACCAGGGATCCAGTGGAATAATATGTACCAGGCTCCAGAACCAGGGGGCATGACATTTGGCTGGGTTTGCTGGATGATTCTGTTTGATTCAAGCCTTTATTTTTTATGTGGATGGTACTTCAGCAACTTGATTCCTGGTAAGAAATCTGCACTTTATAATAGAGTCAACTTAAAAAATAGTTTAAACCTACCCACATGAATTCTGGCATAATTATTTATTCTTATAGAAGATATCTGAAAGGGAACTCATAGGACATATTTTAAAAGGAGCGGTGACTTTTTGAGGTGCTTGCATCCCAGGTGAAAAGTCAAAGGTCAGGTGAGGGGTGAAACAAAACAAATGYAGGGTGAAAGTCCACCAAGCCCACTTAGCAGATCCCAATGGGTAGGCTCTGTCAATCATATTCAGAAAGGCTCCTAATTTTTCCAGTGGAGTATCTGAGGGAGATGGGCATGAGGGGAGTTGGGGAAAGAGAATCTGAGGCCCATGATGATGATGGCTCCCAGACAGTAACATCTGGCTACGGATCAGGGTACCCTGGACCAGGAGCCTAACCAAGGGAAGTGGAGGGACCATGTCCTCAACCGGCAGCAGGTCGGTGGGAAAATATGGAAGGTGGCCAGGCTGAACAGGAGGGCTTGGAATTGGATTGCCTGAGGGTCAGGAGCCCTCTCCACACTCAGGGCTATCAGTMGGGCTTCTCCAAGTGTGGTACACTTCCTTTTCAGTGTGTAGAACACTCCCTGGGGGCTGGAAGATGAGCACACCCATCACAGGGAGAATCACCAAGGGTGGATTGTCTCTGTTTGGTTAGGAGGGAAAGAAATGTGCCTTTACTTTTATGATTCATGCCCCCAAAAGCATAAATCACACTTAATTTTTTAAAAGTTAGAAACAATGTTTTGATGGTATTGAATTTTCTTGCTGAATTTACATATGACYTTGACTACATATTTCCAAAAGAACTGGAATCTATCCTTTAAAATTAAGAGTGATAAATGGAAATTCCAATTACATGCAAATGAAAATGGAGAGTTAGAAGGAGGAACAAAAAACCTAGTTAATTCTGTCTGTGAAAACACATTCCAGACTTGGAGAGATCATGCATTCTTTAAGGACAGATACATGTAAAAACAATGTGGGTCATTGAAAAACTTATTTTACAGAAAAGGAGGAAAATATGACATTAAGTAGTAGAGAGAGGGCATTATTTTTGTAAAACTTAGAATGTATCATCTTGATACTTGGAATAAAATTTAAGAAAAGATGGACTGTAGGAAATAAGAGATTATGAAAAAGGAATTGCAAAGGCTAAGGTTTCTAGGAAACTATATGAGAAACAGTTGGATATTGAAAAGAAAGAATTGTTACGAGATAGGCATGTGATGTCAATATAAACAGTAAAGAAGCAGTAATGATCATAAAAAAATCAAAACTGGTTGTCACCAGCTGGCCGGGCTGGCAAGATGTGCTAGGGTCAGAGGAGCTGGCTGCATCAATAAACTGAGAAAAAGGCGAAGAAACCACACAAAACACGAATGTGAGTTTCTAAGGTTGAGGACAGGACTGCTTGGTGACCCCAAGGGTCAGCTCCACCCAAGGGTCAGCTCCATGCTGGGCATCACTGGAAAAAGCAAGAGAGAGAKCATACYTGGARCCCCCCTGTTTATTGGGGAAAAGACATTCGATAGAATATTTCACCCAAATAAGGCAAGGGGTAGAGTTTTGAAGGGTGGAGTTTTGCTTGGTGATGTCCTGTGGTCAGCAGATTGGKTGACATGTTGGCAAGTCACACCCATCTCAGGTGCTGTGTGGCATCACAGGCAGAGTGAGAGGAAAGGCACRGTTGCCTCGCATAGCCCCATCAGCACCCAATGCCAGACCAGTCCCCTCATATGCTCAAATGTGCATAGCTCACACACAAAGAGCCAATGGATGGTTCACGGCACCTGGTCTGAATAGATGAAGATGGAGTCCTGAAGGACGAGGAGGAAGTCACTAAGAATAAGGGTAAAGTGGTAGACGGACTATGAGAGGCCATGCAGTTGGCTATCACTCCTGAGATGGGTAGCCATCTTTGGAATAAAGGGCACAGGAAATGGTCATTTGTCAAAGGATGAGGAAACCTAGATTTGCAGAGGAAGTGATCATCACAGCATAGAAAATTAATACAAAGGAAACTATTCAGAAAGTAGCTGATGACTTAAAAGAGAAGCATCCTACAAGCACAAGGATTAGCAAAAACGAGCTACCTACAGCAATGATGAGATGAGGTGAAATGTGTTTCCTCTCTACCATCAGGACATGAGGCATGAGGATCCTGGGGGCAATATTTTCATATATTATAGTAAAGCAAAGGAACTCAATTAGGATTTCCCTCCAAATCCCACATCAATCTTTTTCTATTATATTGAAGTCCTATGCGAACAAACTGTTTTCCCAGACTAGAAGGTAGATGAGTCAAGCCAGGCCAGGGCATAGCCAACTTCTCAGGCCCTCTGGGCATTTGCAGTGAAAGAGCTCCTGCTAGAACAAGTTTCAGGAAAGAGAAAAAGGGAGAGAGGGTGAGGGGAGAGAGAGAGAGAGAGAGAGAGAGAGAGAGAGA